AAGCCTCTACTGTCTGCTTTAAATAAGCGCAGACGTCTCCAATTTGCAAAGGAGCACAAACATTGGACAGTAGATGACTGGAAGAGGGTCATGTGGTCCGATGAAACACGATTTCAAATGCATCGTGCAGATGGCAGGATGAGAATATGGAGAAAACAGCACGAAAGCATGGACCCTAACTGCATTGCCACGACACTTCAAGCTGGTGGTAGCAACGTTATGGTATGGGGAATGTTCTCTTGGTATTGAATGGGTCCTTTAATTCGTCTACCACAACGCCTTAATGCCCAAGGGTATTTAAGTATTATCGCAGATCAAGTACATCCGTTTATGTCAATGGTGTATTCTGGCGGGGATGGATACTTCCAGCAGGACAACACTACTTGTCATATAGCTGGCATTGTCCACAGATGGTTCGAAGAGCATGACGGATAATTTAACTTGCTTCGTTGGCCAGCGCAATCCCCAAATCTCAATCCAATTAAGAATTTGTGGGATGAAATTGAACGGGCGCTCAGACAGATGGATCCAGTACCATCAAATTTGCAGGAATTGGCAAGTGCAGTTCAGCGAGCATGGTCTGGCATGCCTTCTACAACCTACCAACATCTAATAGAATCCATGCCCTGACGAATTAAGGCAGTAATACGTGCAAAAGGTGGCCCAATAGCGTACTGAAGGTTTGGTCATAATAATTTGGCCTCTCAGTGTATAATACCTTTAAAAATAGGTTCGTTTACTCCGAATTAGAGGAAACCATGGATATTAGATCCACTTTTGAGAAAACACTTATTGATATTATTTTTTGCAAGAAGTGTTTCGAGTGTTTTCGTTTTCAATTTTAAAGACATTCGATAATATTGTTTGCAATATTAGAAATACAAAGAAATGAAATTTTGTGTATTCCATAAATATTTTTTGAATAGAGCTGGGTTAAATCTTTTTAACTACAAAGGTATTTCGCTCGCAGAAAGGGATGTTTAACTTAAAATTTTTTTTAATAGAGCTGGGTTAAACCTTTTTAACTACAAAGATATTTCACTCGCAGAAAGGGATATTTAACTTAGATGTTAAAATGAAATGAAAAAGCTTTTTAAGAATTAAGAACGACATATTAAGCACAATAAACTTTTTCTAAAAAGGAGAAAATTGGAGTCGAAAGAAAAATTTTTTTTTTTGTATTTTTGCAAAATATGAAGATTAACATTCCATCATATTAAATGTTTTATTTTTAAATTTGAAAACAAAAGACTTTAGAAAAAGATAATTATAATGTTTCTCATGACATAAATTAATATTTTTTTTATAATTTAAAAAAATGAGTAATTCATATTCTTGTGGTAATTTTCTTCGGTATATGGTAAATATTGCTTTAGTATCAAAAAAAAAAATCGTTAAAATATGTTTACTTTTGTTTTCTATTTGCAACATACTTTCCAAATTTTACACTGTAATGGACAATACTTGTATACCTTCTTTTTAAGTAAAATTAAAAATGAGAGATTTCACTTCATATCTTTTAAAGCATCTTATCACCATTGAATGCCGTTAGTTTTTAAATTTTCATCTAAGTTTAAAATTAATAGCCTTTTTTTCATAACATTTAAATTGTTAAATTAATGAACTCGCTTGAAATATTTTATCAAATAGTACAAATTTTCGACCAAGTTCGAAATTGACAAATAAGTATTCGCTTGAAAACGTTACTTGAAAAAAGGATTAGTGTACGAATTATAGATTAAATGTGGAATAAATTTTCTTAACATAGTATTTTTTGATTTGAAGTCATTTTTTTACATTGAAAAACCTCTGTAACGGACATTAAGCGTATGTTTTACTTTTTGATAAATAAAAAAAAATCTCAACCCTCTTGGAAGCAAAAAGCTACATGAATGAAGAAAAGAACATAAATGCGCATACTATAGTTTCAGTTCTATAAATAGAGCCTTCCTCAGTGTCTAAAAGCCAAATGATGATATTTAAACAATAGGGATCCAGGAACAAATTTGAACGAGAAAATAAAAGGGGAAATGAAAAACGGTTGGGAGGGGATTTGGTGAATTGATAAGAGTTTGAATAAATAATTTTCAAAATTCACCAATTCTCACCAACCTGAAAGAAACTATTGGAGATATTGATAGCTTTGGTATTAATCAAATTTGATGTCATTAAGGTCTTGCGCACATGGAAAAAACTAAACATACCCTTAAACTTTGACTTAACATGAAAGCTATTTAGAAAGTGAGAATAATGATTTTCGATCGCTCCGCATAGTTGGAATTCAAAACACTGACACTGAGTTGAGTTTTCTTCTGCTAAAGTCCTTCAACTTTGCTTTTGTCTTCCGAACTTGATTTTTGGGAGTCTTCCTATATTTTTAAAAAAAATAATAATTTAGTTAATGATTTTTCTATATTCTCAACGTTTCTCAATATTTTGATGTATACTTTTACTTAATCTATTTCCCCCTTGTGCTTCCGCCAAAACCTCTCTCACCTGTTTCTTACTTCCGTTTTCATTTTCTTGTTTAAGCTTTTTCCTCGATCTCTATTGATTAAACTAGTTAACACGTGTTTGTCTCTTTACTATTTCTAATATCATTTGATGTTTAGACACAAAGGAAGTTTCTTATTTATAGAACTGGAACTATAGTATGTCCATTTACGTACTCTCATTTGTGCCTTATTCACGTTTTTTTTCCACCTTATGTCTAAATAGTATTAATTATACTATATCTCTTGTTGTAACTAAATATTTTTTTTATCATTTCAGACTTGAATCCTAAGTTGAGAGGGTTTTTGGTAGTAAGAGGTTAGCACCTGAAATATCTAAAACAATAAGCACGCACAAGAATCGTGAAAAAAGCAATTTTTTTTCAGGATTTTTTTATTTTATTTATTTTTTATAATTTAAGGTAGCAAACTCCGCAAATTTCAAAACAATTACATTTTACCCATTGCTTGATACTATTGCATTAGAGCTGTATAGCTACCTTAAAGTAAATTTTACTATTGCTTTATTTCTCCTCTGAGAAATGTCAAAGCTCTTGCTAGCAATATTGTAATAGTTTTTGTACAAAGTAATGTTTACAATAAAAATAGATTTTGTATTCTACTTCTTCAACATTTGTTGCGTTTCAAGAAATTATTTCTTATATATTATGTATAAAGAATAGAACTCAAAAGCTGATCTGAAAATACTATACAGAAGTTCATCCATCACTGTCAGTTTCTGCTTTGTTTTAATATAGTAAAGGCCAAAAGAAGGGGAAAAAATAAACTATTAGATGGTTCTAAATCGTGTAAAGAGTTTATTCGAGTGATTTAAAAATGTTTTAATTTTTACAAAAGGCAATTTGCAATTCATGATGATTATTTAAAAGATTAGTTTCGCAAAAGTATTTACTCTGTTTGCGTTTATAAATAATATGTTTTTACAACTAACGTGTTTTTCTTTACTTAGGAATTGCCTTTCTTTCAAAAATGTAAATATTCTTAATATAATTAGAAGCAGTTCTAATAGAAAAAATTTAGAAAAAACACAGGATAATATGTTTCATGAATGAAATCAATGGATTAAACATAGATGAATGCTTTCGTCAATATCAAAAATATTTTTTAAAACATTTAAAGCAGTATTTCAGTAAGAAAATAAGTGTGAGGAATTGATGTAAAATCAGATTTCGCAATTTTTACTTTATTGATAGCAATTAAAACATTTCCAGTAATTCATGATAAATATCTCTATGCTTTATTTATTTAGTTTTACGTGATAAATGATGCATTAGATGAATGATGAGTTTTTTTTCCACGTGAAATTTTTTTTTAAGTTGTGAAAAATGCTTTAGCAAAAAATGAATAGTGAAAATCAAAAGTGTGCATTATATTTTTTAATGTTTATGATAATTTTATAAACGTCAGTGTTTTATATCATGTTCGGACAAATTATTTATTTTAACCATATGCCATAATACGACCAAATGACAATGTTTGAACCAAATATATGCGCTATATAAATATACCAATCTTGGTTTGAATAATACATATATGTTAATTTGTTACTTTTAAGCATTTTGATTGTCCCTTCAAATTTTGTGAAAACTAAAATTTGATTATGCTTTGAAGTTTTCTTCAAGCTAATAATTTTTAAATTTGAAAGAATGGGCAGTTTAAGTAATATTTTAATTTTTTTTTCATTTATGCACATATTTAGTTACGTAAAAATTTTGCGTCATGCAATTTGTTTATTTTTACAATAGCCCTTGTACCTAAATTGTGGGTTTAAGAAATGGTTGGCGAGAAGTAAAAAGCTTTCCACGCATTAATTAAGACTTAGTGAAACTTTTGTACATTAAAAAATATCTTATGAAAACAAGTTTATGTAAAAAAGCGTTAGTCATTCATCTATTTAGTCAATATATATATATATATATCTTTTTTTCAATTTCAGAACATTACTTTTTCAATATAGAAAATAAAAAAACCGCTTCAAAAGTTATTCTAATTTAATCATGATTGATATGTTTTGATAATGTTGAATATATTTTTTTTGAATTAAGGACTTATTCAATTGCTGAACATTTCAAGAAAGATAGACGTTTCATGTTTTTCATTTATATCATAAGTTTTAATCTAGATGTATGCTGTAAAATATGTAATGTAATAATACACATAACAGAATTAGTTTTCTGTTTCTCACATCAAAATAAATATTAATAAGAAATTTAACTATGTTGAAAAAATAAGATCCATTTACAGGGGAAAAACAACTTTGAACTTTTATTTCTTCAAAATCTTTGCAAATCTTAGCAATTTGGGCCAACTAACCATCAACAGGTTAAATTTTACTATTTATAAGCTTGATGTCTTTCTTTATGTATTCTTATATTTCGACTTATGTTGTTTTATAGCTTGACATTGGAATTAAAAAAAAAAGTATTTATAAATGTTATTTTTCAGGTTAACGGTAACTAACAGTTGTCCAATGGACCTTCGGTATTTTCCAATGGATCGACAACAGTGCACTGTAGAAGTGGAAAGTTGTAAGTAAAATTCAGAATATATTTGAAATGTTATACTCCAGCTATAGAACTGAAAATTAAAGATTGATGATACAAAAAGAAATACCTAATATTTAAATTGATATTTTTATTTTTAATTTTTATTTTCTTAAATAAACTCAATACTGCGGTGTACTACTTACTTTCAGGGTACTTAATTAAAACTACTACTTAAAGGCTAAAGCAATAATATCCTTCGAAATGAAACTTTGATAAATTATAATTTTTGTAAAGAATAAGTGTAAAAAACCACGTATATAACCATTAACCATAGTGGTTTGTCCTTAGATGATCTTCTAATAACCCAGACTTGAATTCCATCTATCAAGTGTTCCTTCGTAATTTCTAGTTTTCATCGTCCGTAATGCTGACAAATATAATTTGCAATCGAAGGGTTGATTAATTAAGTTTAAATTTTGCAGTTATCTAGTAAATGTTAGTTCGATTTGTTTTCACCTTCGTGAACGGTATTACTTTCCCTAAAACAACTATTTTGCAAAAGTGATTTTAATTTAATACCGGAATCAAGAATTTCCTTGTTTCGTGAGTTTCATTCAAAATTACGAAGATTTTGAGGCAATTTCTTTTTTTTTAATTTTAAGGTATAAAATTTTTTGCATAATTTTAAAGTATATAATTTTAAATGGCAAAATACAAAATTCGACTGAAATTGGTTGTCCTAAAAAATCGAATATCAAATAAAGAACATTTAGAAAATTCTATTTCTCCGGAATTATTTGACCGATTCATCTCAAAATGTGTATTTTGTCTTGTAAAATTACAAACTTTAATATGATGCGAAACTTTTATACCGTACAATTTAAAAAATGTTCGATTATTATGTTCGATGTATGAAAATTGATAAATATTTACAAAAGTTTAGTTTTTTCATGCAGATATCTTCCGACAAACGAGTTTTATAACTGTGAGCAATATTATTTCAATTCGCTTAAAAAGTTTTCGAGACAATAAAATTAGCATTAGGGAGTTCAAACTTTGGATCACTCTCCTGACCAAACTATGGGAACCATATTTCCCTGATTGCGGCCTATATTTTGGGGGTCAGAAATCCGAATTCATCGGAAAAAAGGTATGTTTATTCAAAGAAAAAACGCTTTTGTGTAGCTTAAAATATCGTCTGTTCTAATTGATTAGAATATTTGAGGTCATGAAGATTCAGTCGTTGAACGTGAAGATCCGATCAGTAGATCAAACGATATTCAGTGTGGCACATTTTGTATTTTGCGCATTGAACGTTTGCCATCTTAAAAGGGCATTTTTTACATACGTTAACCTTGTGAAAAATTTGTTAAGCCTGTGTTAATTTCGGTAAAAAATAATGAAGGATAGCCATTCCTGCAGACGAATTCATCAAAATTTCATTTTTATCGAAAAGAAAAAAATATCTTCTATGCAAGATCTTTCTCGAAGTCACCAATGACTAGTGGGGCTCAAAAAGAATTTATTTCATAATATATAGCAGTGCTCATTTTACTCAGAAGACCTCATCTGCCTCAAATGGTACTTTTGAATGTTTCAAGACAAAAATGCAAAAAAATTACCAGTATGTGATTGCCGACAAGCATGTAAAGTTCCACTCTAAACTCTCTCCTGTCCTCAACATAGCATTGGAATGTCAAATCATATCTCTGCCTAAACCATATATAATGTCATTAAATTTAAAATGAAGTATGACTTACTTTTTTTCGCAATTTTAATGACCTGGACAATTTTGTTTGCTTTTGTATGTCAGTAATCGTATGTAGGACTGGGCAATATTAGAAATTATATATCGTGATGCATCGTCAGTTTTGCATCGCGATATAGCGATGTATCGCGATATAGTATTTTTGAATTTCATTTACTTGTAAGGCACAAAAAGTCAGATTTCTATCAAAACTTCATGCTCAGATTGATTTAAATCAATTTATAAATTTGAAGATATATATGTTTTGCTTAAAGATATTAAATAAATTGACTAATGTACAAATCTTATTTTAAAATATTTATGGAAATGTTTGTTTAGAAATTCATAATACGCGTAAAACAAAGGGTTAAAAACTTTTTTAAAGCGTTTTTAATAAATTATATTTTCTTGTACTATTATGCATAAATAATTACATAATTATTAAGTTCCTATCCGGCTAAGCTCAATTTCTAAATGAAACGTTAAAAATTATTTGTATGTTTAACACAAAGTGCTAAGTAAATTTTAGAAAAAAAACGCTTTTAAAACACTATTTTTTATTATTATCATTTCAGTTATTATAGTTCTATAATATAGTTCATTTACGTCACACTAGAGCTGCACAATGGGCTATTGGCGACGGTCTGGGAAACATCCCTGAGGATGATCCGAAGACATGCCATCACAATTTTGATCCTCTGCAAATGGAATGGCACCCCCGCTTTGGTAGCTCGACGACCTGCACGCGAAGTCGAGCACTCGAGGACCAATACCGCACACCCTCGGTCCCTACGCAGACTGATCCAATTGGTCACGCATCCGCACACTGACCGCAGCCTGTGATGCTTGACTTCGGTGATCTGCAGGAAACCGTGTCTTAACGATCAGTCCACTGCGGGACCTTATCATTTCAGATAAGTAATTAAATTAAATTAAATAATGACCGAATTATGAACGAAAAACAAAGGAAGATTTAATTTCTTGAAAATAAAAAGAAATTGATATTCGATATTATATTTAGCTAATTAACAAATAATATGAAAAGAATATTTCTTAAAAAGAATTATTATACTCTCTAATAAAACGAAGTGCTAAATGATTTTAAAAAATGAATAAAATATGCAAACCTTTCACATTTTTTTGTATAAACAAAGTTGATTGACTTATGTCCAAATCCAAATGACAAAAATAAATTTTGTTTTAACTTTATTTCTAAAAATAAAAACAACAAGATTTATAAATTTAAAATCAGTAATAAAAACTCATTAAATTATTAGAAGTTTCATCCAAAAAGTTTTTAATAAATTAAAAGAAAGTAAAAAAATAACCTAACAAATTCAATGTATAATTTTTTTTCTCTTAATAAATTACTACTAAATAACTTTTAACTCCTATTTTTTTTTTAAAAAAAATAGTCTTCAAGCCATTGCCATTTGTTTTATGTACAGTAGGTTAATATGAAGAAAGATTGATAATTAAAAATTCGAATAATCAATATGTGAGAAAGTGTCCTTCAACCAAGTGTATATATAATACAAAACTTCAGTTTAATGAATATATCTCTTTGGGAGCGCCAAAATAGCCTTAAATGTTTTACATGAATTGCCAAAAACTTATTGAGTAAGTGTTATTTGTGTTTTTGCTTCACAAATGCTTAAGATAAACTCTTAAAGTAATAAATATTAATAGGTTATAATAAAAATGTTAAATATTTTCCCCTAAGCAGACTAATGCTTTCCTGCTCCAATAAGAACTGCATTATGTGTTACAGTTGGATTTTTTTTTGTAAGAATTCATACCATTTTATTTGTTGCATGATTTCTATATTATTTTTTACTTAATTTTG